TAACCTGCAATATTATATACAGTGCTAGGAGTAAATCCCACTAAACATACTTATACTTACCTCTGATTAGACATGGAACACGCTGTTATGCATTAAGAAAAAGGACATAAGGCAGTTTTAATTTACAAGATTGTCACTGCAACGCGTCCATCTGATGGGGGGGAGGGATGTCCATGAAGAAAAGTTTATGCCAAATAAAACCTATCTTTTTTTTTTTTTTTGCCACGGGACTCTGTTGTTGTTTTTTGCAACAGTCTAATACAGAAACCCATACCCAAGAAATCAGTGCAACCCCATACGTGTCACTCAGAAAGTAGGGTGAATCTACACTGTAGAAATAATGCAATTTGACACCACTGTAACCGCCATGGCTCAATCATACAAAATCCTGGGATTTGTAGTTTTGTGAGACACCAGTGCTCTTTGGCAGACCTTGTAATAGTACGAACCCCAGATTTCCATAAGATGGAAGTAAAACACTTAACGTGATGTCAGACTGCATTATTTCTGCAGTGCAGATTCATCTGTAGACTCTTGGGTAAGTATGTCTAGGATTGCCATCTCAAACAAAATAACAATCATATAAAAACAGAGAAGCATGATAACACCACTTCCTTCAAATGAAAACAGTCAGTAAAAACCAATTGCAACATCAGGCAGCAAAAGGTTAACTACAAGCCATCTGCAGATATTAAAAACCATTAAGGCATGGGAAAACAGTTCTAACTCTGCTAGTGTCTAAATGACACCAAAGAAATCATGGACACTAAAGAAAGCAGGCATACAAAACTGTGGAAAGAGTATTACACTTTTGAGTGTAACAACCAGAAAGGCCCTCTTTTTGGTAACTACCTACTGAACCTCCAAAGGTTTGGGCACCCAAAGAAGGGTCTGGAGCAAATCTGTGCTGCTCTTATCCACAGGGTCTTTTGATACTACATGGTTATAAGACTAGGCTTTCACTTTAACTGGTATGACATCATCCTATGGAATTCTGAGACTTGAAGTTCAAGAAGGGATATTCAGAATTCTCAACCAGGAAGCTCTATTGCCTCTCCAAATTACAAATCCCAGGATTCCATGGGAAGTTGCCATGACAGTTAAAGTGGAATCAAAATACTATAAATGTGTAGCATGATAAGGTTCCACATGTGAATATTATTTAGACACCCCAGAAACATTGTCATGGCCTACAGCTCCACAAGAGCACCAGGAAAATAGATCTGTTTGTACTTTATTTATTTTTAGCATTTATATATCACAAGCTAATTTCAGTATACATTAAAATACATATTTCTACTCACTTTAATATGGTCATGTGTTGATTGTCCAATAACTATAAGTCTGACATTGGCATCCTAAAGTAAAACCAACCAAACACATAAAGGATATACAAATCAAAAGTGTTGCAAGCAGCCTGATCACTATGCCAACACAAGGTGCTAAAGTTGAATTTCACAGCTGTTGTGACCTTTAGTGTTGCAAAACAAGATGATATGCTAGCAATTTATAATTTTCCTATAGTTTTGGTAGCTGATATATTGGTACAACTATTTGGGGGTTGCAGGATCACTTCTGTATTGTTATTGATTAAATGGTTCCTTTTCTATATAGATTATTTATCATGGCAAGAGGTGATTCTGGGACTTTGAGACACTTCTTACTGTATGCCAGAGAATATAAGCGCAGGTTCTGAAATACTTTCAGTATAATTCTGGTGGCAGATGGCATGCTAGATATCTGAGGACCCAGTTAAACATGAGGAGTCTTATCACCAGAAGGATGGCTACAATGTGAAGAAATGGCTACAATAATTATAAACACAATGACTATGTGAGTTGCGATGTACACGGTCACACTGATGAAAAGACAAACTTTCCCTGTTTTTGCTTTTCTGTTGTGTCAGTTACATTGTAAGCCTACAGGCAGACACTGTCTTGTTTTTTAAAAAATCTCTGTAAAACGCTGCACATTTTAACAGTCTGAATGAATAATAATAATTAATTCTCTGTATGAATGAACAATATAAAGCAGTACATATTCCTGCCAGCCAGAGACGAACTACTGATTGACCTGATGTTAAATTCTTAAACCTCTAGAATCTACATTGTGTTCAGTTAATATCTAATATTAAAAAGAAAGTCAGAGAGCACACAGTAGAACAAATTCACAGCATGATTTTTAGAGTGACTGCAGACATCTGTAAAAGCAGTTAACATTATCTTGTGATACTCTGAAATATTAGGCTTTAAAAAAATACACACACCTTACCTCTAAAAATTTCTTGGGAATTTTCCCCAGGTCTTCCACATACTCCTTACAAGTATAACACAAGAAGTGCTGAAATAAGATAATTGGAGATATCAGATTATACACGCTGCCACAAAATTATACCCATTTCAAAGAAAATGATGAGTGGAAACTCATCATTCAAAGGGAACAAACTACAGAGGGACAGTAGATAAGAAGACGGGTCAAATCAATGCAGAGGGCTCAAAAATATCTCTACACTGGAGATCACAACTGGGGGTTTGGATGCATTGTGTGTATTGTAGTGTCTTGGAGCCATTCTTTTTTAAAGCTCAAGCCATAAGAAATCAACAAAAGAGGGGAAAAGATGCTGTATTCTCTTGTTGTGTCAGACAGGCAGGACAAGCAATGGCCTTCTTATGGCTGTCCCAGGCTCTGAACTCCCTTCTGAGGGAGGCTAAAAGAGTGCCTTTTGCTGTTCTTCAGTCAGCAGGCAAATATATATATATATACCCAATATGTCTTGAGAACCGAAGGTTTTTAAAGGAAAGGTTTTTACAGGATGCTATACTATTTTAATTGCCTTATTTTTAAACTTTTAAATATATTAATTGTATGTAGCTGTAATTGTTAGTGTTGTTAATAGTTTGAGTCTATTTTAATGTTGATCTTTTACATTTTTTAAAATGGTATTTGTTTCAATTTGTAAACTGTGTTCATTTTCAAGGGTTTTTTTTGGGGGGGGGAAACAGTGCATATTTAAAAATGATGAGGAAGGGTGCCTCTACGCTGAACAAATAATGCAGTTTGCCACCATTTTAAGTCCTGCAGCTCCACCCTATGAAATTTGTTTTACATGGTCTTTAGTCATCTCTGACAGAGTGCTGATGCCTCACAAAACTATAAATCTCATGATTCTGTAGGAAGGAGCCATGGCAGTTAAAGTGGTGTCAAACTGCATTATTTCTACAGTGTAGATGCACCTGAAGAGGATGATGACAGTAATGGCAGAAAGAATTGTCAGGCAGGACAGAACTGCTTCTGGGTCAGATGATACTGGAAAAGGGCACAAAAGCAGTATTGGATGAAAAGAGCCAGAATTTGAGTAAACTATGGCAACTCAAGGTGAGTGAACCCTAAATCATTTTTGGTCTATCAGCAGAATGGATCCAGTAGCATCACAGCTACTTGCAACTCTCTCAATTTTTCCCTAACACCACCACCTCATCTCCACTCCTACCCCCACAGTAAGCTGATGGGGAAAGTAATTTTTACTTTTACCAGAGGCCTAAGCCAAGAGAGCCTTTGAAATCTACCCAAGGGCTGCATGTTGTCCAACCTTGCTAAACACATCTACTCGTATGTAAGCCTACATCTGCAAGATTTAAGCCTTGTCTCCATGGGCCAGGATATTCTGGGGCCAACTTTTTTGAAGGTTAGCCAAGTTTTGTTTTTGTTTTTTTTGCCCACAAACATTGGCCTCCTGCTGATGCAAATGGGACTCTGAAGTCTGTGCATATAACCACTAAGGCAGCATCATACCCATTTGTTTGATTCCATTCCAGTGAGTTCTGGACAACTCATTCCCACAAGAGCAGGCAAAGGCTTTACAGTCTCTGTTTTCTGTTTTTTAGGGCTTCAATACCAGGAGAA